GGACAGCGCGTGCATTTCAAAAAGGCTTTTTTAGGAAGTATTTGGAAATGTTCGATACAATGATCCACCTGCCAAAATTAGTGTAGCAGATTCGTAATCAGCTGCGTTTCCTTCTATAAAAGTATGGAAGGATTTGAAACTGACAACCGTGGGATGGAGATAACATGACGGGTAATCTAAACAACCATACTTTTTTTCTATGCTCCAACCGGTTGAATTTTAAGGAGACTATTGGGCGCATGTTTGATATCTGAGCATGCCCGGACGTACGAGGGAAAATTAGCTTCGACCTTGGAGACGACCTTAACCACTTGTTTGATTTAGTATCACACATGTCCGTGCGTTGTAATAGGATAATAAAATTACATGCCTTTAGCTCAACTTAAAAATGGCACGAGACCCTCACGGGTCCGAGCTCTCTAGTTCGACATGATGTGCTTCTTTATCAAGGTTTAATATCTTTGATTATTTTAGCGTTCACGTGCTCATTTTTTTTAGTTAGAGACAAACCAGCCTATTCTCTTCTATTGGCATGTGTCCATAATTTATTTCAACTAGCTAAGTGTCCGTGCGTTGCCACGGATTAACAAATATATATATACAAAGAGAAAATTCATGTGACATGAGAGTCAAAGGTCATTTCTATGGGATGATATCTCATGGTCATGATCTAGTAGATACATACATCTCGTCATTGTCTTTCTTCCACACTCCATGTCTGAGCTACCACGCGACATTCGACTTCCTTCTCCCACCATGCATGCTTTTATCTCCTATTTCTCCTACCTTTACCTTACACGACAGTACCAAGTTTCTTGTCCAACTATCATAATCTTCTCCGGTAGGGCACCCCCTTAGATTATTACTGACTTGTACATGTTGCAAATAAGATCAACGAAAATGGATACTAAATTTCTGATGAGAAATGAGAATTCAGGGCAATATCTTCCCAAGACAATAATAATTCCAAGACAATCTTTTTATACCTTCTGTCAACATTGGGACACACATTCCACACAATAAGCAAGCAATGATGTTGATACTTGATTAATTGTCATTATATGTCTACAGTAAAGATAACTTTACTCAAAACCGCCTATCTTAGCCAAATCAACAAATCTCTCTCATTAATGCAATTTTCTTTAGAAAACAAATAATAGATTATTTCCTATCTTAGCCAAATCAAAGGATCTCTTTCATTAATGCAATTTGCTTTAGCAAACAAATAATAGATTCTTTCTTACCTTAGCCAAATCAACGGATCTCTCCCATTAATGCAATTTGCTTTAGCAAACAAATAATAGATTCTTTCCTACCTTAGCCAAATCAATGGATCTCTCCCCGGTTCGCTGGGCGCGTTTCGGTGGATGGGCGTGGGGGTGGGGGTAATTTGATGGAAATAAACCGGTTGAAAATAAACCGGTTGAAAATAAACGGATCCTGTCTCACTCTTCACTTTCTTTACAATAAACTTCAGAATAGCAATCTTGGCGAGTGATCTCGACGGGGTTCAATCGGCGTGGCGCACCGCTGATTCTTCCAGGAGTGGGTGCTGAGAGGAAGGATCCCAAACCTCCATTGTCAATCGGCCAGAGCTGCATCATCCTTTGGATCAGAGCGTGGACGGGATCAAGACGGTAGGGTTTGAGGAATTTGTAGGACATGAGGGTTTATGGTTGGCAGCACGAGAACTCACCCATATCTTGGCAGACGGCAGGCCCGAGGTGCGGTCGTGTTCATGCTTCGGGAGCTGCCACATGCTGTCCTCGCCGCCATCAGCGACACCACCGCCATCGCCTGTTGCCACCACTTCAGCGCCACGAGCGTGGGACCGAGGGACGAAGGGAAGGGAAGGAAGTGGATTGACGTACCTATGTTTGGTATATATCACACGAGGAATCAAAACTGGATGCACGTGAAAGCATAGAGATGGGAGAGGAGGACAGAGGAAGGGAAGGGCAAGAGGAACCTGAGGATGTGCGATGAAGGAGCGATGCCAAAACATCACAAAGAGGGACCCGTAGCTCGTCACGTAGCGCGGCCGCCTCATTGCCGGCTGCCACCCCGCGCTACCGCCTCCGTGCGCAGGTTCCGTTCGTGGAGCGTGAGGAGCGCATGACCTGCCTTCACCGCGGCCTGGTCCTCCCCACTATCGTGAAGCTCGCCCGCATCGCCGCCCCAATTGCTCAGGATGACGGATGAAGATCCTGCAACAGCGACGTGGGTGAGGGATGCAGCCGACGATGGAGGGATGATTTTCGTGGCTAAACCCTCCCTATCAAAATAACTACTTAAAAAAGGCAAAGATCGATGCATTAGGAAAATTAGGATTTGGAATTGATTGTCATAAAACAAAATTTTATTAATTGATAACGTGCTATCGATACATGCCCGTTTATAACGTGTCTAGTTAGGAAACTTTGGAAAGTTAGAAAAGTTTTTATTGTGAGGGTAAAAAAATCAATGTGAGGAGATATGGTGGTGGGATATGAGACGAAAATAAACCAGACGGAAATAAACCAGACGAAATATAACCAGACGAAAATAAACCGTGGACGCAATCCTACCAACTGCTCCATTAAGAATAGAGATTATAGCCAACCATTATATTCCTCTTTGTTGGCACATGCAAGCTATCATCGTCAATTATTTATGGAGTCTCCCGTTTTGCTCAGATTCTAGAGACAACTTCCTTATTTTCAGACAATCTCCTTATTTCCAAACAACCTAGGGACATAATTAAATCGGTATGATTTAGTATAAAGCTCCGAGATGAGACTATTCCTATCATAATTGCAAACTAGCTGAGTTGGTTTTGTTCATCGGGGAATGTTCATAGTTCAATCCCCTCGCGGCCTAAATTTTTTGTTGCTTCTTCGCCCGTTAGAAAAAGAAATGTATAGTGTGGCCCAGTTCAACCCACCCGGGGGACAAACAATAAATATTCAGGAACACCGTGCGGAGAGGACGGAACGAAATCTATACATATATTTAATAGGAGGACCAACGTTTTTATACAACAAAGCCAACCTAGCTCATTTGCCAACCACCTGAGGAACTGGATGGGACGTCACAAGTTCCATTCCTTATGACAACTAACTTGATGGGCCAGATGTGTGAATCGAACTCACGACCTCAAAGACGCAACAATGTGTTGCTAGCCACTCCAACAAACATGACATGATAATTCATGGCCAATGCGAATATTTAAGAACATACCGCAGTGTCAGATTCTAAACAATTTTTGATTTTATTGATTTTTTTAAATTATAATTATGAATTGCCAAATATTCTTGGAAACGTGAAGAGCTTTTGAAATTATGAGTTGGTATTTGAAAATTCCGTACATTTTTGCAAAACACACTTTTTTAACAGGGACATGTTTTTAAATTCACAAACATTTTTTGAAAACGTGAACCTTTTATAAGAACATGGGAAAATTTTGAATTAGTGGCGACTTTTTCGAAACAGGAAAATGCTTTGAACATTCAAAAGAATTTTAGAAAATGTGTTTTTAAAAAATGCGAACAATATTTTCTATTTATGAACATTTCACTAAAACAAGAATATTTTTGGAATTTAGAATATTTATTTAAATATTGAACAATTTTTCAAAACACAAAAGAAAAATAGAAAATTGGAACATCTTTTAAATTCTTAAAAAATTCCGAACAAGAAGAAAATTCCAAGCAGTTTTTAAAATAGGAAGAACATTTTTTAATTCTGAACATTTTCAAGAATTTGAACAAAAATTAAAATTCAACATTTTTTAGAATTTAGATTTTAAGAATAAAAATAAAATTAAAATAAGCTAAGAAGAAAAAAGGAATCAGGAAAGAAAAAGGGAAAAGAACAGAAAAAAACACTAAACCGGGTCAGCCCAGTCTTGGTTGCCTTGTGAGAAGCTCGATCTTATGCGCCCATGCGGCAAATAGGATTTTGGCTGCTGCATGGGCAGGAAAATAAGTGGGCTGGCTTCATTGGGCCGTAGGGCGGGTGGCCCACATACGAAATTCTCGACAAACTATGCTTTATATAGCACTGTAGCCCGTAGCAACTCAGGCAAAAGAATTTTTTTCTGACAATGAATGAATGAAAAAAGTGGATAAATGCACTATGCTTTATATCGCTTTATATGCATTGTAACCCGTAGCAATGCACGGGCGTTCTACAGGTAAGAACATGCGTCAAATTTGAAAGGTTCTCCCTTTGTAAAGAACTATAAGATCATTTAGACCATTACTATAGTAATCTAAACAATCTTATATTTCTTAATATAAGATCATTTAGATCATAATATAGTGATCTAAAATATCTTATATTTCTATACAGAGAGAGTAGTGTACGTGGTGTTCAATCACTACACGAAATTGAGATTCAAAATCTGGGTCCGGATGCGTTTATCAGCCGGGTGAGATGCACAACTATCTGTTTGTTCGTGCTGGCCGGCGAAAACATATCACTAGCCTGTCTTCGTCCGCTAGTGCTTTATGGTCAGTAGTGACAACATATTTACAGGCCATTTGACTGGTTAGTGACCACAACATCATCATTGACAAGCCACGATCATTGATGTTTTTGCAGTGGGGCGCCCATAATATGATCAACATTGTCAGGCCTTACTACTGTGTTGCTGCTGCTGCTACTACGACCGGTCAGTGATTTTTAGTCTTTGGCAAATTGTGATTGCAGCAGCAGTAGCAATAGTAGTAGGAGCTGTAACATTATAAAATAAATAAATAACTGCACCATATTTTTATCAAGAAATATTTATACAATTATGGACAACACCACTCCTCACTCTGCATGACACAACACACACTAACAAAACATCAAATTGAATTCCATAATAACAACATTTCACAATATCAAATTTTGGGACTACAACTTTAGATGATGTTGTTGGTTGTCTAATAAGTGCATGGGGATTAGTGGTTCCCATATAACATGCATATGTATTTACATTGCAAGAGTTACATTACACAAGTTGAAGAACAAAACTAGATTGACACTCCTCGACGCTTTCTCCCTGACAAGGCACGACCTTCGTGTGTATCCTCAGCATGACTAGTCACAAAATGAGCAAACGAATTATGTGGGGGTATCCTTGATTCCCATGAAACTAGAACAAAGTCTTGCTTTGGTCTAGCACTAGGATCTGCGATAAGTTCCCCAAATGTCAGGCATGGTAATTCTTTCTTGGTTGAACCATTAATTGTATAACGTGTCATGCTAAGTGGATGCAAAGCAAAGTCCGTTATGTCCACTGGATGTCCTTCTCCTATAAGCATGCTTGGGTGTCCACCATAAATGGAGAGGTTTCGTTTAACCATTCTTTTCCTCTTTTCCAATACACAACGCCAGTATTGAACATTGAGGTTCCTTCTCAAGACATCTGCGAACGTATTTGTCGCCACAAGTGCACCTGGTGTACCGTGCAACACCTTGGCAAATTCATCTGCTACCTGTACTAATGGTGGATGTTGTGCAGGGTCAATGCTTCCGAATGCCAATGTCTTAAAAAGGTACCTCAACTCATCGTAAGATAGAACACTTAGGAAAATCGGTTTCACCGATCCAAATCTGGCTAAGCTTTGGAGTCTACTTATGATGATGATCTTGCATCTTCTGTCCATTCCTATGAAAACTGAGTGAAACTTTTTCCAGTCATCATCACCTATATCAAAAGCAAACTCAATAACTACCAACATTCTCATCCCTTCCATGGTACTGCCATGGTCAAGTATTTTCAAAAGCCCGTCTCCTTTCAAGTGCAAAACAGAGGAGAAGCATGAGCGGACCCTTTCGTCACCACATGCATGAGCAACCAAAGTTTTCTTCCCGATTGCACTACCTCCTATGATTGGAAGAACAGCTGGTGCGGGATAACAAGGAGGGTCATTGTGCTGCAACAAGAATCTCAAGATCTTCTGCTTTTCAGTGTGTCGGCTGAACATGAAGTTATCAGTGTAAAGGTAAACATCATAGGGCCTACGAGACATGTGCTCGCATCCACTTAGAAGAACAACAAATTCTGCCATGTTATCAACAGCAATTCCTAAGATTTCCAAGGCACCGCGTGACTCGATGCGTGTGACCTTATCAGTTGTTGACCTAGAACGCTTGGCTAAATAGAAGCGGTTACTAGAGGGGTCATTACTGCTAACCTCATCAAAGCCAACACTTTTTTGCACGGCTTGGTAGCTCAACATATCCAGCATGCGGTGTCCTCCATACATGGCCTCTGAGAGCATCTTGAGCTGCATCATCATCCTGGTGTTGGTGATGTACCGCGCATCCGCCTCCTCGACCACGGTGGCAACTCTCATCAGGAGGTGCTGCAATGTCTCCGCCACCTTTTCCTCCTCTAATTGTGCATGACACAAGGAGGACTGGTACTTGTTAATGAGGAAGGAGATGAAACGGCTCACGAGTTCACCTGCAAGTGCAGATATGGCAGCCTCCATTGCAAGCAAGAAGGCAATGAATGATTGAAGCTGCTGGTGGGTCTCTATAGAGTCTGGACAAATTGACTAGCCTCTTCCAAGTCTTAGAGAAATTCTTTGCAAAACAGAAAAATTCTTCAAACCATTAACTGCCATGAGTTCAAGGGTGGGTGACACACGGCTGCTAACATGTATCCTTATAAACTGCTTGTATTTGTCCTTGTGTACCTGTACTTGTGCTCTATATTGGCCTAGTGGCCCTATATATGGAATACACAAGTTCCGCTCCTAGCAATCTAAAACCTGTGCTTGTACTTGGGAATGAAAAGTCAACTGTCCAAGGGACATAAAAACATTAATTTGTATTTTCAATTGCAGAGCAGGTAGGACCAAATTTATATTGTTCCATGCCGGCATGTTGCACGTATTATAGTTTAATTATCTTTGTATTTGTCTTTTTAGCTGTATACCGTAGTGCAATGCCCCACCGAAATATTCATTAAATATTATACAATTGTTATGGTGATTGGCGATTTTATGAGCCGTCCATCCACCCTGATCTGACGGTGGGGAAATAGAAGTTACACGGAGTTACAAAACTAAAATTACAGGAAATTACCCACCGTTACAAAATTTTAGTGGGACCAGTTGATTTTTTCAAGGGTAAATCCGTCACACGATAGCCTGCGGTGCCCACATTGAACCCACGTATCTACCTAGCCGGCCACGCCGTCGCGGGGATTAGGGATCGCCACCGCATGGCTCCGCCATGGCCACGTCGCCACCGTCCACCTCCGCCATGGCCGGCCTAGCGCCGCCGTCCACGTGCGCCATGACCGGCCTAGCGCCTCTGTCCACCTCCTCCGTGGCTGCCATGGCGCCGCTGTCCACCTCCCCCATGTCCGCCCCGCCTACCTCCACTGTGCTCAGCCCAGTGCCGTTGTTTACCTCGACCAATGCCCCCAGCAGTTCTTCCCATCACCAATCCATCCCCCTATCCGACCATTCCCATCGCCGGCAAGGTCCGCTGGAAGAGGCTGACATGAATCCCCAAGATCAAGATCCAAGAGGACTAGATGATTGCAGCGTCAGAGAAGAATTTGTAACAATCTACAATAAGGTAAACCCCCTCTTCCAATTAGCATAAAAGCTCCAAGTTCTCCCCTTTGTTCTCCAATTAGCATATTCTCTGGATGGTCTGCAGGTTCGAGTAGGAACACGAACACATCAATGAGGTCTTGTTTCATTAGGATAATAGAACACATAATCTGTACAAATAGGATGTAGTATTTTCATTTGCTGAGTTGATGAATAAGGTTTAGTTCATCTTATACCAGAATGGCATGAATCATGATACTGATGTGCTTCCGTGGCAAACATAATTCTAGAACACTAGAAACTCCACATATGTGTACTAGATAACAAGAGATACAAGAGGAATATTACAAGTGTTGAAAATTAACAGTAACTAGTAGGCTACAGAGTTTATGTCACTAAATTCACAATTGTAGATCTAGCATAAAAATGGTTAGTATAAGAAGTAATATTTTCTTCTGTTCATGTACTCAAAATGTAAAATAAATTATCACTAGAACTATCCGAAGAGAAAATATTCTAAATCAAAAGGAAATGGTTGAGTCTCCAAGGAAATAGTGGTTAAAAGACAAGGAAATCATGTAGGTCATAATTTACATTTCAAGTCATACATAGAAATTAAGCGGTAGAACTGACTGATTGGAATCCTCTGAAACTAAATATGCCCAGTTTGCTAGACACATTTAACTTGCTCACTTCATTCTGCTTACATTACTTCATGTCCTCTAGTCTCTGCATACTTTCTGATGAATTTCTAAAGCTCTGTTTGCCTATCTTGGATTGCAACTAACCTGAACTCTTTGCATTGCAGTGTCATGCCCAACTAAATTCCACAACAAGCTAGCTTGAACTATCTGAATAGCTTGAATTGCAGAAGCAGTAGCAGTAGCAGTCAGTACTGAAGTTGATCTACTAGGATGATTTTATATTTATGTCTCAAAATTTCTGGTGCCTCTCGCTTCATAAGAAAATATTAAATCTCTCATATATTACGTGTTTATCTGGAAGCCGCTCCATTCTTTGTTATATACTTCTGTTTAACCCAGTATTACATTATATATGTACCGCTACTACTGTTTTCTAAATGCATTTACTTCGGTGTTCACAGAGTCTTTTGAGTATGCTTTTATTTCTGGAGGACGCATCCTGAGTGACTACACATGAGCAGTTTTTCTTGCTCCAGGGTCGAGCCTCAGAACAACTAGCTAGTAAGTTTTTCTTTTGTTCTTCACGTAATTGATTACCACAATTAATCTCATAATTTCTGTGTTTTTTATTTTGTAGACCTGGACATATACGAAAGCACATCATTAGAGCCAGAGGGAGAAGGTCGAGGTATATGTGATAATTTATATTCCCTAGGAAAATATACGATGAGGCTCCAGTCAACATATCCTTACCTGGGAAGATATTTGGCAGAAGTGCTCTCTCCTAGCTGTGAGATATAGTATCTTCTCGTGGAGGTGTGGATGAAGGACCCCTCCAACGTGCAAAAAATTGGCACATGGAGCTGCCGGAGCCAGACGGCCCAGCCTCACCGCCGGTAGAAAAGCGCGGGATGGTGCATGGCGTCCTCATCTATGTTGGATCAGTGGAGGATCACAGCACCACGTTGATATGGAAAGAGATGATTTGGCAAAGAAAAGACCCATCTACTTTGCAATTACTATACTTTGTCTATAAGAAGTTACTGCACATATGCATTTCCCTATCAGTATTCTGCAGCTAAACGAGGAAACTTGGTATGTATGATTTGTCATAAGTTGGAACCAGCAACTGCTTCTTCCATCTGTTCTTCAATCTGTAGTCCATATATTTTGCTTATAACTATACATCAGTTCCTACCTTAGACAGAGGCTGAGCTTCTTGTTTCAAAAACTTGGAAAACACTTGTGATGCAGCGGCAACCCGCGGGGCATAAATAATCTACATTATAATGTCACTAAAGGAAATCACCTAAAATAGATATTACAACTCAAAGTTCTATTATCGACACTTATAGGCATGAACGACTGATACTTGTAAGCCTATGAGCTCGAACGAGTGAGATCCATACTTCTGAGCCTGAACGCCTCAGAGCTATACTTGCCAGTCCGGACAACTAAGAGCAGTACTTTTAACCTTGAACAGCTATGATCGGTACTTGTGAGCTCGGACGACTCAAAGAGTGGTACTTTTGACCTAGGACGACTCACGGTTATTCGTAGTGGTGCATGTGGGGCCTGACGACCCAGAGTGATTTCTAGTGGTATTTGTTGGTAAGGGTTATTGAGAGTGACTACTAGTAGTGGTATTGGTGGCGGACAAGCCATAGTGGTACTTATGGGTACACAACTAGCACTATGGGTCGCTCGATCTACTAGGACTCTGGATCCCACAAGTATCGCTCTTAGTCATCCGGAACCACAACTACCTTAACAGGTAGTCTCGACACACTAGCACAACTGTACGTGTGGGCCCAGACAAGTAAGATCGTTACTTGTGAGACCGAACAAGTAAGATCAGTACTTGTGGGCCCGAACAACTAAGATCGATACTTGTGAGCTTGAACGAGTAAGTTCGGTGCTTGTGGCCCTGAATGACTGAGAGTGGTACTTGTGGGCCCAAACGACTAAGAGCGGTATTTTTGGGCATGTATGCGTAAGACCAGTACTTGTGGACTTGAAAGAGTAAGAGTGATGCTTGTGCACCTGAACAACTAAGACGGGTACTTGTGGGTCCAAACGACTAAGATCAGTAGTTGTAGGCCCGGACGATTAAGATCGATGCTTATGGGTCCAAACGACTAAGAGCGATACTTGTGGGCCCGGACCACTAAAATCGGTACTTGTGGACCTTGGTGAAGATGATCGATACTAATGAGCCCGAACGAGTAAGATGGTTACTAGTGAGCCCGAACAAGTAACATCGGTACTTGTAGGCTCGGACTGCTAAGATGGATACTTGTGGGCCCGAACCATTAAGAGAGATACTTTGGATCCGAAGGACTAAGATCTGTTCTTGTGGATCCAGACGACTAAGATCGGTACTTGTGGACCCTGGTGAGTAAGATCGATATTAGTGAGCCCGAACGAGAAAGATCGATACTAGTGACCCTGAACGAGTAAGATCAGTGCTTGTAGGCTCGGACTAATAAGATCAATACTTGTGGGCCCGAACCACTAAGAGCGATACTTATGGGTCCTTCTAAGTTTGGTACTAGTGAGCCCGAACGAGTATGATCATTCTGCACGCAGAGAGAACTTAAGAACGAGGATGATGTTGAATGGTTCATTAGTAGGCTTTAAGTTTTTGTTAGTAGGCTTTGAATTTTTGTCTTCCATATTCGCACGGGTCAGGATGAAAGGTATCCTTAGTGACATTCACTTCAAGTTTTGTTCTCCAAAGGATGAAATGATGTGAGAATCTTTTTTATCTATGTTTCAAATCGTCATATTATAATTTCCAATATATCTCGAGTTCCAACCTTCTCTCGAACTGAACCACTTTGCGAATACTGGTTTTCCCTTCAAATTTCCACTTAAAAGAGTGTTGCCTGCACAAACATATCATTTACACTAAACTGGAACATGCGTGTCTCCAACAGTGCTTTTACATTAAACTGTATTTTTTTCTGATATGACAGTGTTAGCTTTAGTAAACTATAGGTTGTAAGTGTGACAATATTTTAGTAAAACTTCTACTGATGATCGTCACCCATTAACTCCACACCTGATTCCTTTGTGCAGCTAGCCGTTCTCAGTCTCGGGACATGACCGAATCACAAACCACAGTAACCTGAACCTTGAACATCCTGCGGATCATCTGTCCACTCAATCTTCTCATCACGAAGCAGCAAATCATTTCCTGCTCATCATGAAGTAGCAAATCAGTTCTGTGCTAGACCACCCATCGCGTGCGTCCACTCATGGCTCACAAAAACATAA